TTAAAATTTAAACCTCTTACCTGTTTCTGCGAAGACATCCACCTCGCAGAGTTGCAGGTTGCCCGACCGTCCGATCAGCTGAATGGAGACGTACCGGCCGGCCATCGGCTTGTCGCAGTACACCACGACTGTCGCTCCATTGGACGGTTTTGCCGTGTAAGTCTCTCCACACTGGTCATTCCGGGTGAAGTCTTTGTTAAGGCCAATCCGCACCATAAAGCCTTTCAGTCGCCCTCCTATACAATTAACCAATGCCTAGCTTTGAAAGATATCTTTAACTATAGTGGCCTACTTTTGCAAATACGTTGTTTGTCCAAACTATTTTGGCCTTGGGTTGTGTAGATGATACGGAAATGAACCACTGTACGTAAGAAAGCAACTAGCGCCAGAGACAATCATCTCAGTTATTGTAGTCGATACCATTAATAAGAAAGTCATAGCTACTAACTTCAACTACTTATAACCATTTGAAGGAAACTATTTAAAACTACTTTTTAACAGACTAATAGTAATTATTCTGCGTGTGTGGAAATTAAACACAGTTTCATACGTTTCGACTGCTTTCCAATGATCTCCATCAATTAAAAAAACACAAATGCTTTATTTTACTCTGTATTGTTTTCAGTTGTGTTGAACAAAGTTTTATACTTATCGTATTCCTTGATGAGTAAGTTTCATAAATGTAGGGCTTAGTGGTTGGTTAGCTAAACTTACCGCAGCAGTCTCCCCTGTTCAGGACACTGACCCGGTTGACAGTGTAGGTATCTGCCAGGTCCACCTTCCACCACGGTTGGTACTTGTTATTGGTGTGAGTGCACTGGTCCCGGATTACCGACGTGCCACGCAAACCGTCTACAGCCTTCTCGGGTCCCCACCGTGCTCCGGTAGAACTAGAGCTTGCTGTCTTGAAAAGGGCAACGTTTGTTTCTGCAGGGAAATACGAGTGGAAAATGACATCAGGTTTTTGCCTTCGTCAGAAGGGTATGTTTTTATTTGGGGCCTGGTGGAGCAGCTGTGGTATGTAATTCAGCGTCATAATTCGATTATTTGTGGATGGATTTCTACCCCCGCCAGAAGGTTATATTTTCCGTTTGGTTATGATGGAATGGCTATGATGGAATGGATGTATGCGGCATAACACTTGAAGTCACCTTTTACTCAAGCAACTGGAAATGATTTTGGAAACGGTCAGACGTTTCAGCTAGTATCCACTAGCTTTCGTCAGTCACTGAGAGACCAGAGGAGGAATGCAGGTTTATAAGCACAAACTATTGATTGATATGTAAATAAAGTGAAGACAATTTTTGGAAGTCAAAAAGGGAATACCTGGATGCAGAACAGGAGCTTAAGTGCTGCCTGTCCTCGAGGCTGAGAGCTGTGCTGGAGAGATCTACCCGAAACCCCCCTTCTCTGTTGAGGGTAGGGTTGTACATCGTTTCATATATTGCCATCCTGAACTTTGTTCCCTTTTCGACTTCCAAAAATTGTCTTCACTTCATTACATATCAATCAATAGTTTGTGCTTATAAACCTGCATTTCTCCTCTGGTCTCTCAGTCACTGACGAAAGCTAGTGGATACTAGCTCAAACGTCTGACCGTTTCCAAAAGCATGTCCAATTGCTTGAGTAACTGCTTTTTGGCGTATCGTACTACCTGGATGTCTAACCTTCATCGACGGATATCGTGTGCTTACCTGTGATGCAGCGATATGACACCTCCAAGTACTTCTGTAACCCGGGACAGGGGTCACCGAAAACGTCATTCTTTGCTAACACTGTGCACTGCTCATTGCCCTGACAGGTGGCCCTCACGACAGCCAGGCTGTTGACTGAGCGGCAGTCGGTGCGGCAGGTGATCCAACAACCACAGCCGGAATAGAGTGTAGACGTCCTGCCGTAGTTTGCGGCCATGATCAGAAGCGTCTCCCCATCTACGCAAGACAGCTGTACGGTGCCGTACTTACAGGCGTAGACAGTTCTTGTGTCAACATCTGTGTATCAAATGTTGGCGGTTCAAATAAAAACGTCGAACATGTGTTTGTCAGGGTAGGGACTGGGTTGCCTGGCAGAAATTGACTATTTTCAAGAAATCAATTTAAAACAAATAATAGACTGCTATGATCTTCAAGACATCGTCGCTGACCAAAATGGAAGCTTAAATGACATTTCGTTCATTTTTTCGATCAGTTGCTGTCCATGCAATTGCAATTTCCGTTAGATATCTATCTAATATAATTTAATTCTCTTTACACTCATCGACGTCTGTTTTGTTAAGATAACAATAAAACATCTTCTTTAAAGACCGAAGAAATATTGCACAATATATTAATACACCAGTATAGATTAAGCTCATTATATGCTGATTAAAAAGAAATATTACATTTAATAGCTAACCGCTAATCAAATGGACTTACCATTTTCACAGTCATGTCCAGTCCATCCAGGTAAGCAAGTACACTTATATCCGCCATCTTTGTTCACACAGCCGCCATGTTTACATGGATTCTCTTTACACTCATTAACGTCTGTTTGCAAAGATAACAAAAAAACATCTTGTTAAAAAACCGAAGAAATATTGCACAATATATTCAATACACCAGTCTATATTAAGCTCATTATATGGTGATTAAAAAGAAATATTACATTTAATAGCTAACTGCTTACAAATGGACCTACCATTTTCACAGTCATGTCCAGTCCATCCAGGTAAGCAGGTACACTTATATCCGCCATCTTTGTTCACACAGCGTCCATGTTTACATGGATTCTCTTTACACTCATCGACGTCTGTTTTGTGAAGATAACAATAAATCATCATGTTTAAAAACCGAAAAAATATTGCACAATATATTCAATACACCAGTCTAGCTTAAGCTCAATATATGCTGATTAAAAAGAAATATTACATCTAATAGCTAGCCGCTAATCAAATGGACTTACCATTTTCACAGTCATGCTCAGTCCATCCAGGTGAGCAGATACACTTGTATCCGCCATCTTTGTTCACACAGCGTCCATGTTTACATGGATTCTCTTTACACTCATCGACGTCTTTTTTGTAAAGATAACAACAAAACATTTTGTTTAAAAAAAACGAAGAAATATTGCACAATATATTCAATACACCAGTCTAGCTTAAGCTCATTATATGCTGATTGAAAAGAAATATTACATTTAATAGCTAGCCGCTAATCAAATGGACTTACCATTTTCACAGTCATGTCCAGTCCATCCAGGTGAGCAGGTACAATTGTATCCGCCATCTTTGTTCACACAGAGGCCATGTTTACATGGATTCTCTTTACACTCATTGACGTCTGTTTTGTAAAGATAACAATAAAACATCATGTTTAAAAAAAACGAAGAAATATTGCACAATATATTCAATACACCAGTCTAGCTTAAGCTCATTATATGCTGATTGAAAAGAAATATTACATTTAATAGCTAACTGCTTATAAATGGACTTACCATTTTCACAGTCATGTCCAGTCCATCCAGGTGAGCAGGTACAATTGTATCCGCCATCTTTGTTCACACAGAGGCCATGTTTACATGGATTCTCTTTACACTCATCGACGTCTGTTTTGTGAAGATAACAATAAATCATCATGTTTAAAAACCGAAAAAATATTGCACAATATATTCAATACACCAGTCTAGCTTAAGCTCAATATATGCTGATTAAAAAGAAATATTACATTTAATAGCTAACCGCTAATCAAATGGACTTACCATTTTCACAGTCATGTCCAGTCCATCCAGGTGAGCAGGTACAATTGTATCCGCCATCTTTGTTCACACAGCGTCCATGTTTACATGGATTCTCTTTACACTCATCGACGTCTGTTTTGTGAAGATAACAATAAATCATCATGTTTAAAAACCGAAAAAATATTACACAATATATTCAATACACCATTCTAGCTTAAGCTCAATATATGGTGATTAAAAAGAAATATTACATTTAATAGCTAGCCGCTAATCAAATGGACTTACCATTTTCACAGTCATGTCCAGTCCATCCAGGTGAGCAGGTACAATTGTATCCGCCATCTTTGTTCACACAGAGGCCATGTTTACATGGATTCTCTTTACACTCATTGACGTCTGTTTTGTAAAGATAACAATAAAACATCATGTTTAAAAAAAACGAAGAAATATTGCACAATATATTCAATACACCAGTCTAGCTTAAGCTCATTATATGCTGATTGAAAAGAAATATTACATTTAATAGCTAACTGCTTATAAATGGACTTACCATTTTCACAGTCATGTCCAGTCCATCCAGGTGAGCAGGTACAATTGTATCCGCCATCTTTGTTCTCACAGAGGCCATGTTTACATGGATTCTCTTTACACTCATCGACGTCTGTTTTGTGAAGATAACAATAAATCATCATGTTTAAAAACCGAAAAAATATTACACAATATATTCAATACACCATTCTAGCTTAAGCTCAATATATGGTGATTAAAAAGAAATATTACATTTAATAGCTAGCCGCTAATCAAATGGACTTACCATTTTCACAGTCATGTCCAGTCCATCCAGGTGAGCAGGTACACTTATATCCGCCATCTGTGTTCACACAGCGTCCATGTTTACATGGATTCTCTTTACACTCATTGGAC